TTATAATATTCGAATGATATAATAGGTAAATAATATATATACACTATGGGGCTATCATTATTTGTCTTGAGTTTTTCGTGACTCAGATTATTTTTAAATTATTGATCAAACAACTGAAATTCCTCCTCTAAATTTTATTTTACTCAATTATCGATTTAAAGTGATTATATGATTAGTATTCAAATTTAGTTGAATTTAATTGTAAAGTATAAAGTATATATTCTTAGTTAAACTTAACTTTACTTGAATTTTACGAGTATTCAAGTTGAAGTCAAAGTGAAATTGATTGTAAAAATAATAAAGAATAACTAAATTAAAAAAAAAAAAAAAGAAGTTATGACATCGCAGTAAATGGAAATAAATAAGAATTAGTTTGTAGGTTTAAAATATAAATGTTAATTGAGTCGAATTTAAATTTAATTCTCAGTTTGACGTAATTATGATTAAGACTCAAATTGAACTAAATTTAACTGTCATATATAAAGTATTAATTCTTGCTAAAACTTAAAATGTGGGGTTATCCCCACCCTAAAATCTCCATTCACATACTACATACACCCCCTTTTAAAAAGAAAAGAATAAAATAAGGAAAAAAAAAAAAGCAAACCAAAATAAGAAGGAATAAAAAAACCAAGTAAAAATTAAAGTAACAAGTAAAACTATAAAACACAAAATCACATGATGCAAAACTGGACATGAAAAAAAAAGTATCAAGTATAAACGTAAAATTGAACAAGAAAAAAAAAAAGAAACATAGATACAAAACCTAAACAAAATTAAAAAAAATAACAAATAATCTAAAAGGTATACATATTTATACACACATATACATTCTACATAAAAAATTATTAAACTTGACAAAGATATCAAAACATACCGAAAATAATAAAAAATTATACAACAAAGTAATATTAACATGTATATCACTGAAAAAATTCATATTAAAAAAATATTTTTGTGAGTGTATCAAATGAAATAGAGACTCAAATCCTAATTATGACAAAATATAAGGTGAGTTTCCTTATTAAGCGGAGTGTATATAACTTGATATGAACTTAGTTATTAATGGGGTAAGTATAGAATGAGTGAATTTAATAAGAAATTAAACAAGGGTGAGAATAGAGATTTGTGGGGGTGGGAATAGAGATTTAAACTCAAATGAAAACTAGTTTTAATTACTCAACAAAATTTTTTACATATATGAGAATTCATAGGAAACTTTTGGATGTTTTCCTCACAAAAGTTACACGAACTCACATTGAAAAAATGGTGTAAAGATAATGTTATGAATTTTAGGTAAAAACCTGAAGATAAACAAATAGTTTTATTTTTTTTGAAATTTGAGATAAAGTTTATTAAAAATGTTAAAATTGTGGATGTTTAACCAATAATAATTATATTTTCTCAAAATTTTGAAGTAAAATGTTACAGTAATTGTAGCGTGACTTTCGTTATATAGAGGTTTGATTTTATATACTCTGTATACAGGTTGAATAATATCAATTTGATCGTTATATTGTTGAAATTGTATTATACATTGTCTTTATTTATGAAAAAATATTTATAATTTCTTACCATTAATGTAGTGTCTTCAGACATGGGTAATTACTAGTATTTATATAGTCATATTCTATATATAGATATAGATAGATATGAGAAAGAATTTTAATATTAATCAAACTCCTAAAATTTAGGAACTATTAATTTTTAAATTTATTTTAATTAAACATGACTACTAGGGATATATTGGAAAATGAAGATTAAAATAAACTTAATATTAAACAAGTTTCTTTAATAAACTTATCGCTAAATAAATTTACGAAGAGAAACCGGCCTCCAAATTTCTCCATATGTTTTAGCCCGCGGCCTTCGTGGGTTGTACACTGACGGGCCGGGTAGCCCATTCAGTCCGTCGGCTAGTGTTTTCCTGGATATGATTAGGCAAGGAGCCAAGGCCGCCTAGACCATACCACAACCCATCAGCCTGTCTTAGTGGGCTTATTTATTTATTTTTTTAATTTCTTTGATTTGTTTTTCATCAAAAATGTTCTCAGCCAGATGAGCTGGGCCGTGAGAGCACCCTACTAACAAGATTTGTGTACGTTAATTGGCCCAGCAGACCAAGCTGTAAACCATGGCATATGATGATACCCGGGCCTGTCCATGTTCCTGCAAGTACCTGGGCTAACATANGGCCAGCAGACCAAGCTGTAAACCATGGCATATGATGATACCCGGGCCTGTCCATGTTCCTGCAAGTACCTGGGCTAACATATCTAACTTTTGGACCATGGGCCATTTCTCGAGTCTTATGTTCACCACAAAATCACATTAATAAGAAAGATTTGTTTCATAGTCACAAAAATTTATACGTAATAGTGCAGCATTAGAAAGGGTTATTCTGGTGGTAAACCCAGAGATAAAGGGGCTTGAAGAAGCTCCTGCTTTAACTAGATAGTGATCATTTAGATTTCCCTATTTCAGGACAGGAGAAACTACTTAGAGGTAGAGGAGTTGCAATTTTGACAATTAAGGGCATGCTTCAAATTAGTATACAAATATACTAGCAATAACCTCATTTTTTAGTAACTAAATTGAGTTTTAATTTCAATCAAGCGAAGGGACGCCCATTACACGAGGCTCTGGTCAATATGGAGTCTGGAGAGAGTATGTTGTATACAACCTACCGATATTAGAGCGGTTATTTTCGTGACTCAAATCCAAGTTATGGGTAATTCCTGATTTTTTTTTTTTTGTTAATTGAATATCTGGACTCTCTAATTGTGCTAAATGAATTTTTTTTTCTGCCTTTGTTAGATTTTATAACAGAAAGTAACGAAGTATGTCACTCACGTGACACAAATGAGTTAGAATAAACTAAACATATGGGCCTAAAAATATGACCATTATGTTAATTAGGCTCTTGCACTTTTGTTTTTGTCAATTGAACTCAAGAACTCTACAATTGTGTCAATTGAGTCATTCTGTTTTTTTGTGCAATATGATCACGTGAAGATACGCTCTAACGAAGACAGATAGAAGGGCTCAACTGACACATTTAAATAATTCAATGGCCCAATTGACACACACACAAAAAAAAATAAAAAATTCAAGAACTTACTTGACCCAAGAATCATAATTTAAAGATCAATGTGTATAATTTACTCTATAATCTAAATGCCCAAACAGCTGATCATGATGAGAGAAGGAATCAAATAATCTGGTCTGGACAGGACCATACAGCATAATATCCATGGCCCTGAACCTTTCTTTCCATAAAGATAGATTCTTGAATTGATATCTTATTGCAAAGCCAGTTGTTTATAATAATTCGTATTCCGAGTTGGGCATGAATATATCCCATTGTTGAATAGGTCTTATAAGCAATGACAACAGCCGAGTTTCCACTAGACTGAGGAGTCATGGAGGCATCATTTGTCTTCAGTTATAAAGTAAACACTATTTAGCGCCCGAGANAGTTGTTTATAATAATTCGTATTCCGAGTTGGGCATGAATATATCCCATTGTTGAATAAGTCTTATAAGCAATGACAACAGCCGAGTTTCCACTAGACTGAGGATTCATGGAGGCATCATTTGTCTTCAGTTATAAAGTAAACACTATTTAGCGCCCGAGATTCGCGTCATTGTATGGTACGTGGAGCGTAAAGGATCAAATTTATCTATCTAATTGTGCAGATAGTGTCTCTATAGTTTATTTTTTAAAATTTTTAATTAGTGGTTTTAGATTATTTAATTTAAAATCAACGATTGAGATTTAAGGAGATATGATTCCGACTTCGATTACCCTTTTGAATGAGTAAAAGGCTTATAATTTCAAAACTTGGAATTTGACTCACTCTGTTTGAGATAAGTTCGTTTTTAGGATCGATTCAAGGTAAATGATTATTTTAAGGATATAAATTTTGAGTTTAATCAATAAAAGTGTTTTGCTGGTAATTATGTAAACCTTTTTTTATTGCACCGCAATCATGAATCCAAATTATATGTGGTTGAAAAGATTTGTCAATAGAAAAAGAAAACAAAAGTCTAGCTAAATAAAGCATTTATATTTTATTTTANTAAATGATTGAGATTTAAGGAGATATAATTCCGACTTCGATTACCTTTTGAATGAGTAAAAGGCTTATAATTTCAAAACTTGGAATTTGACTCACTCTGTTTGAGATAAGTTCATTTTTAGGATCGATTCAAGGTAAATAATTATTTTAAGGATATAAATTTTGAGTTTAATCAATAAAAGTGTTTTGCTGGTAATTATGTGAACCTTTTTTTATTGCACTGCAATCATGAATCCAAATTATATGCGGTTGAAAAGATTTATCAATAGAAAAAGAAAACAAAAGTCTAGCTAAATAAAGCATTTATATTTTATTTTATTGTTCAAAAATTAATTAAAATTAGGCTAAATTTTGTTTAAGCTATCATACCCTCAACTTATTATTAAAATTATAATTTCCTTTTTATTTCTCTTGCTCTTTTTTGGTCATGTATTGATTTGTTCTTTAAGAAATTTCAAAGTCCCACCAACCAAATAATTTTTTTTTTTTTGGGTTTAAAAGTAAATAATTTTTAGATTAATTTATACACATCTNTATTTTCTTTTTTTTTCTCTTGCTCTTTTTTGGTCATGTATTGATTTTGTCTTTAAGAAATTTCAAAGTCCCACCAACCAAATAATTTTTTTTTTTTTTTGGGTTTAAAAGTAAATAATTTTTAGATTAATTTATACACATCTTTGATTAGCCTTCTCTTCCGTTTAGACTAGGGTATTCAAGGAAAATCCCTGATGAATTATCAAGAACTCAAAAGGTGTCAGTTTACGATTTGTTGTTATTAATACTTCAATTATTTTTTGAGATGACTGCCAAAAAATCTGTCGTTAACTAACAAATCACAACCGGAGAAATGACAGCTAGGTCCAGTTATGTCACGTTATGTTACCGCCAGTGACCCAATCATTGCCCAATTACACGACCGTTAAAGAAGGGCCTTCGGCATTTTACTACACCTACGGACCTACAGCCGGCAGATTCCCCATCCCATCCACCCACGCCTCTCCATTTGCCACGTGTCCTCTATCCCCATAAACCACCCTCTTGGTCCCACACTCCACGCAAAAGATCAGCTCGCAATTAAACCTTCCCCTCTCTGTGTTTCTCTCATATCGCCGTCTCTCAATCCGGCGATAGATATTCTATTTATGTACCGTTACGAGTTCAGAGAGTCACAGATCGCTTCAGTTTTGGTTTAATGCATTTATTCCCGTCCGATCAGTCTCGTGATTGTTGACGAGACTGTCCAGGTACCGTCAGTACTACGCTTTCTTTTTAGAATTCGGAATTGTAGTTGAATTTTGACTCGATCTTGAATTTTCTAGGGTTTTGACTGTAATTTAGGTTTTGTGGTGAACAGATTTGAGCTTCTGATGCTTGATTGATTATCAGGATTTTGTGAAAGTTCTTGTCTTGGTTTTGGCGAAGAGATGTCGGGACCATTGGATCGTTTTGCGAGGCCTTGTGAGTTCTCTTTTTCTTGTTTTGTTCAGTTTCTTTTGCTGTTCGTGTAATTCTGAACCTGCATTTGTAGTTGATGGAGTTGAATTGCGTTTAGTGCTAAACTAGGATTTTATTATTGTATACACAGATAGATTTAATGGGTTGAGTCTTTGTTACACGATCTTGAATTTTCAAGTGTGGGTTTGAAGTGCTCTTTGTGCTTAATGAGCTTTTCGATGTTTTGTAGTATTTTCTGTATATTTTAAGGGGGAAAAAAACAATTTCTAGGAAAATTTTCTTGTTGAAAAGGTTTTGAAGAAATATTTGTTCATGGAGCTGACTGAATTGATCTGATGAGGGTATAATTGGCTGAATTTTGTGGATCTTTAGTTTATGAAGCTAGCCTTTGCTTTTGGATGTCTTGTTTTTGCTCTCCAGTTTTGAAAAAAACAATTCCTGTTGTTGTAGCTAGCTCTCCAGTTTTTTTGGCTTCTTTTATTGATGTTTGTGATTGTTTTGCATAGTGGGATTTTCATGGTACAATCCTATTGAGTTTGTTATTGCATGCTCCGTTTGAAAAATTACTCATGTTAACAATTATTAGATAGGAATGACAAATCTCTAGCTGACATGTACTTCACTGAAACTTCATATCAATATATCATATTTTTTAATCTATTGCCTTTTTATTAATTTTCTCTATGTAAAAGGTTTTGAGGGGTCCTCTGGTAATGATGAGAGAAGAGAAAGAAAATCTGATTTTGAGAATTCGGAGGATGAAAGAAGGACGAGGATTGGTTCGCTGAAAAAGAAAGCACTAAATGCATCTACAAAATTCAAACATTCTCTCAAGAAAAAAGGCAGCAGGAGAAAGAGTGATGGTCGAGTTAGCTCTGTTTCAATTGAAGATATTCGTGATGCTGAGGAGCTACAGGCTGTTGATGCATTCCGACAAGCATTGGTTTTGGATGAATTGCTACCTGAAAGACATGATGATTATCATATGATGTTGAGGTATTTCATCCCTTCCTCTTTCCTGCTTTGTATAGATACAGTTCTACATAGGTATAACCGTATAAGGAACAGGATGGCATACACTTGGAGTCTAAGGGCGTAAGGACTTTCTTATCATAAGACATAAAATTTTCAGGGCACAATAGGTCTCCATTTCAGTAACCCCAGTGCCAAAATCATGATCATGTGTTTTGTAATAATTTGCCGTGGTGTCATATGAAGTTTGTTGACAGAAACTGTATTATATCAGCCAAGCTGATGTTCAGACTTGGTTGACTATTGGGTAATAAAGTTTAATTTGATGTTAATGATAAGCAGAAAAACTGATTTCATATTTTGCTTAGTATCAAATGCATCTTATACACTATGCTTCATTTGCCTTGCTTCCTTTTGTGCTTGCGCTGGTTGACACCTTCTCGATTTCAATGATTTCCTTTCCCTGCTTCTCTACGAAACATGGACACTCTCGAGAAGGTAACGTATCCGTGTCGAACACCGACACTCTTTGGACACGTGTCCGATACTCTTTTATCCGTATCCATAATTAAATATATATTTTTTTTAATTTCGGTCACATTTCTGACACTTCTTTGGTGACGTGTTCGACACTTCTTTAGAACGTTTTTACTATTAAACAATAAACATGTGTTGAAATGTGATTAACAAAGTTCAAAATTTTGAGAACATAAAATTATTAATACTAGAAATGTTAAAATTGTAGTCCAAATATAATAATAAAAATAAAATAAGCATAATAGTTTAAAAAAAGAGGAATTGAAAAAATGAGAGTAATTCTTTAAATTATATATTAAGTACACATTGTCTACAAAAAAAAATTGATGATTATCAACTATTATGATGATGTATTAGCTTAAAAATTTACATATTTGATTACACATAAGATTTACTTATCATAAAATACTGAATCTTTTATGAATTGTATATTATTATCATTATATTTGCGATAAATAATAATAATGTTATATATAAAATATAATTTTTTATAATGTATCCCCAACGTGTCCGTATTCTACTTTTTTGAGAAATGTCGTGCCTGTGTATCCGTGTCCCATGTCCGTGTCTGTGCTTCGTAGCTGCTTCTCAGTTATTTGGTGGAGTTTAATCGTGCTTTGGTGTTCTACCCTTGTTCCTCTTGTGGGACATTGTAATGCATTTAACGACTTATTTACTTCTTTTCCTGTACAGCAATGGTAAGTATATCAGTGTCATACCATGAGGTTTTGCAGGGGTTGCATTGTATATGAACTGGATTGGGACTTGGGACCGGTCTTGACCAAATTTGGGTGAAAAATGTGGTTTGATGTACCAGGATGAAGCCAGAAAATCTTTCATTTGGGAGGTGAGGGCAATTGATAACTTTTGAAGAACTCCCTGTGCTGACCTAATGAAATGAAGGGGCTATTTGAAAGCTTTGTAGCCTTTATGCAGCTTCGTTAATGGTTGGGCAAGGATCACTCGTCGGATATTTTACTTTGGATATTTGGGTTTTTCAAATTTAGAAACTTTTTTTTTATTTGGTCATAATTTAGAAGCTTTTGGATTGACAATATTTAACTAGTGAACCTATGCTATGCAGACCTCAAGTAAAAATGTAGGATATGAGGAGACTTAATAGTTAAAAACTATGTAGTTTTGGAATATACGAGAGACATAAAAAGCATACCATTGGTACTTTGATAGTAACATCTATTATGCAAAGTTCTCTTTGACAACATTTATAAGAAAGCAGATTATATTATTCTTTCTTATTTGTTCATTTTCGGACTCATAACGATCTGGGATCTTGATTTTTTTTTCTGCACCTAATGATTTGATAATGTTGGCATGGTGTGAAACTAGTGTGTATTTTGTAGGTTTTTGAAAGCAAGAAAGTTTGACATAGAAAAAGCGAAGCACATGTGGGCTGATATGATTCAATGGAGGAAGGAATTTGGCGCTGACACAATTATGGAGGTAACTATATGTTAAAGTTTGCCTGAGTTTGCTGGTTTAGCTCATAGTTTTTTTTTTTTTTTTGCTTCTGTGATTTGTTGCATCCGTTCTTACATTGTACTCATATTCTAACATGTTTTCTATGTTGATTTTTTTTAATTAGGATTTTGAATTTAAAGAGTTGAATGAAGTTCTAAGATATTACCCCCATGGTAATCATGGTCTGGATAAGGAGGGCAGACCCATCTACATTGAAAGATTAGGCAAAGTTGATCCTAACAAACTTATGCAAGTTACAACCATGGATCGATACATAAAATATCATGTGCGGGAGTTTGAGAAAAGCTTTGCAATTAAGTTTCCAGCTTGTACCATTGCTGCAAAAAGGCATATCGATTCAAGCACAACAATTTTAGATGTTCAAGGCGTGGTATGTTGCCTCCTAAGTAAATTTCTTTTAATTGCTTTGTAAACCATTGAAATTGCCGGGCATATACTTCATCACCATTTGAGTGTGTTTGTTGTTTTTAATCTTCTATGTCTTATTGGTAATCTTTCAGGGTTTGAAGAACTTCAGCAAGGGCGCAAGGGAACTCATTATGCGACTCCAAAAAATTGATGGCGACAATTACCCTGAAGTAATCTAAAAGCTCTTAATATATGTTTTCCTCAATGTTTTGTCACTGGTTGTTGGGAATTATGATTATTAGGAAATATCAACCTGGATCTTACACCTTTTAATTGGTGCAGACACTCCATCAAATGTACATCATCAATGCCGGTCCTGGATTTAGGCTGCTGTGGAACACTGTAAANTTTGATTATTAGGAAATATCAACCTGGATTTTACACCTTTTAATTGGTGCAGACACTCCACCAAATGTACATCATCAATGCCGGTCCTGGATTTAGGCTGCTGTGGAACACTGTAAAAAGTTTTCTAGATCCCAAAACCACTTCTAAGATTCATGTACGTCAATGTTTTTACAACCATTTGGAAGCTATACAGAATATTTTTTTGGTTGCTAACATTCTTCACCATATGATTTTTTTTCCTTATTTTGATCCCTGCTTAGGTTCTTGGAAACAAGTACCAGAACAAGTTGCTTGAGATAATAGATGCCAGGTAGCAAGGGTGCAAGTCTGCTTTATTCAATAGGATCCAATCTTATCATCAATCCATTTTGATGGTTAATAAATTTGATTTTTGCAAATTGTACAGCGAGTTGCCAGATTTCATGGGTGGTACGTGCACTTGTGCTGATCAAGGGGGTTGCCTTCGTTCTGATAAAGGGCCATGGAAAAATCCAGAGATATTGAAGGTTCTTCTCTGGCCTATAAATACCTTTTTGGTTTTTGTTAAGTAATGTTTCCTGTAACTGAAAAACAATTTCTTCATTGGGCATTATGGTGCAGATGGTTCTTAATGGTGAAGCACGACGTGCCAGGCAAGTCGTTAAAGTTCTGAACAGTGAGGGGAAAGTAGTTGCTTATGCTAAGCCTCAGTACCCTATGGTATGATACCTTGGACTTTTTTGTCTCCTCCACCATTAATAAGATCTACATTTTATCACATCTTGCTTTGGATTTGGATCTTCACATTGAGATTTGGTATTCTATTGAAGCAGGTAAAAGGCAGTGATACATCTACTGCCGAGTCAGGGTCTGAAGCTGAAGATATTGCTTCCCCACAAACAATAAGGAATTATTCTCATCTTCGGTTGACTCCTGTTCGTGAAGAAGTATGTTTTGGCAATTGCACTTGGTGTTTAATATGTTAGTCTTTGTTACAGATTGTCAAGAATAGCTTCAAACTTATATAGCTATATACTTAACCTAGAAATTGCAGCTCCCCCCTTTGTGATTATTACTCAAGTTGGGTGCTTATTAAGAATGCATGTGTACATGTTTATTAAATATGCACTAATAATATGTGGCAGTTACTCATGTTACAATACTTTCATAAATAAACAGGCGAAGGTGGTTGGAGCATCGAGTTATGCTGGTAGCTTGTCAGGCTATGATGAATATGTTCCAATGGTTGACAAAGCTGTTGATGCTGGTTGGAAAAAGCAAGCGTCCCTCCGTAAACCTTATATTTCCAAAGGTTAGAAAGAGTGGGAATGGGAATACTTAATAGTATATTAAATAACAACCAGTTTAGTCCCCATTAATAGGGGTCTAGGAGGGGTAGATTGGGCAGACTTTGGCATTATTTCACACCAATGGCTGCTCTCTGGTTCGATCCCACAACCTCAATGTCATTGGGATTTGTTTTACATGTATTTTGATTGGGTGTTTATCTTATGCTTACACTCCACAAGTAAATCTACATATGGTCACAGGTACATATTGGCACCTACTACTGATGACTGGAATCGAGTTCTGCCGCTAGAAATATCTTGGTGTGCTTAGTATTTTATCTGTCATAGTATATCATTGTGTTCACTGTCACTAGTTCTAGTACAAATTTTATTTGAATCACCTCCATTTGGCATTAAGAAAGACTATCCTTCATGCACAATATCTCATTTGGGCAACTTCGTTGTTTGCCATGGACCCTAACAGTGGCCTGAACTTAATTGGAGGTCTGTCTGGTTCTAAAATTCTCATGTAACAGCACTTTCAGCCACTTTAGTATGGCAGAGGAGCCTAAGCAAGGAATGCAGTTGTTAAATTCAGAAGAATTTATCAGATGCTGCTGTTTCTCTTAAATTGATCAGATATCAACTATAATACGTTTGAGAATTTGACTTTGAAATTTTAATTCAGGACCACTTCCAATACCTGATGCTCAAAAGGCACCAGAAGGACTCCGTCCTCGGATTTTGGCAGCACTTATGGCCTTCTTCATGATCCTTGTCATGTTCTTCCATTCGGTGCTCTGTCGCTTAACCAAGAAACTGCCTGACATATCCTCTGATCATGACCAAAACATTCCGGACTTTGCCTCCGATGCAGTACCCAAGGAAGAGTTCCGCCCCCCTTCACCAACTCCACCTTTTACGGAGGCAGAAGTACTCTCTTCTGTTCTGAAAAAACTGGGTGAGCTTGAAGAGAAGGTTGATACACTTCAAGCAAAGCCATCCGAGATGCCCTATGAGAAAGAGGAACTGCTAAATGCTGCTGTTTGCCGTGTTGATGCCCTAGAGGCAGAGTTAATTGCAACCAAAAAGGTATATGCACTGTAGCATGAAATTGTATTCAGTTTGCTACAGACATCATTCTTGAATTGCTGCCGGCATAGTGGCATTATTTAAACGTATGCATGTTGGTAGTACTCCCTCACTGTGTAGGATCATCACAATTGTGGAGGTCTCGTGTGAAACACTAAATTGCATTTTCACTAGCCTACTCATAGGATCACACTTGTGGAACTCTCATGTGAAACACTAGAGTGCATTTTATATCTTTATAATACCTATTGCGGTTGTATCTGTGCTTCACCGCAAACCTGTTTTTGAACCTGTTCCTACGGGATTGGAACCTGTTCCTACGGGATTGAATATACAACTGTTTAGCTTACTTTTAGATGACTTCCAATAGATGTGAAGCCCTTGAGCTGGTACAAGCNCAGCAAACCTGTTTTTGAACCTGTTCCTACGGGATTGGAACCTGTTCCTACGGGATTGAATATACAACTGTTAGCTTACTTTTAGATGACTTCCAATAGATGTGAAGCCCTTGAGCTGGTACAAGCAAGGTAAGTAGGTCCATTACCATCGAGCTTCTGGCCAAAAAGACCTAACGGAGTAATCCCTTGTCTCAGATTAGAGATGCTAACAGTGCAGAAATCAAATTGGGGACCCTCTCTATTCCTATGTCTATCTCCTGTCAAGTATGCCACCCCATACATTGAGTATGTATAGGGTGGTACTCTTCGAAAGATAGCATATCATGTGACTACGGGAACATGACATTGTTTAGGTTTTGTTTTTACATATTGCCTAGGATTTACTTCATCATAAGTTCCATGATATGGGTTATGGGAAAACAACCAAACATTGGGAATCAAATTCAGAACTTCAATTTGCCAACATACATACACTGCTGTGGCCTTGTTTGGCATGTATGTTGTTCTTTCCATTGAATTTGCGACTGGGTCTCTAAGAATGCATACAAGCCCTAGCAACTGTTTTCTATTTTGCCTATGTCTTCCTTGATAATAAATATGCTTCTTTCTGAGCAGGCTTTGCATGAAGCTTTAATGAAGCAAGAGGAATTGCTTGCTTACATTGATGCCCAAGAAGAAGCTAAGTTTCGGGTGAGTTTAATGTAGATGTTCTCACCTTGTACATGTAAATATGTAATATAGCAAGATTTTCGTAGAACATATGAGATTTATTTCTTTTGTGGTGAACTTTTAAAGTTATGAGATTTGTGTCTGACATGTTTCCTCCCTGTCTGTTATGCAGAAAAAGAAGTCTTGCTGGTGAGAGAGAGGTGAGGCCATGAAGAGTCTATGCAAGAGGATGTGTTCATGTTCGGCTGCTTTTGTGAGTTTCATTTTTCTACCAAATATTTTGCATACACCCACCCCCATAATCTTGCAGAAGATTGGGATTATTGTTTCTAACTATGTAACTTCCTTTCGAGATGGAATAGTTACTCTGTTGTGAGAAAGTGTGTGATGAATATATATACATTTGCTCTATATGATGCATGAATCATGTGTACTGAGTGTTCAGACTTTGAGTGGATTTGATGACCAAAGAATATCCATTTTCTTTACTTGGCTTAACCTGAGGCAAAAACCTTTGCTGTTGCCTCACTTCGTTTGAACTTGGGATTAGGAGTTGTCTTACTGGTGTCTATCCTTGCTTCAAGCAAGTAAAATNGCAAGGTAAGTAGGTCCATTACCATCGAGCTTCTGGCCAAAAAGACCTAACGGAGTAATCCCTTGTCTCAGATTAGAGATGCTAACAGTGCAGAAATCAAATTGGGGACCCTCTCTATTCCTATGTCTATCTCCTGTCAAGTATGCCACCCCATACATTGAGTATGTATAGGGTGGTACTCTTCGAAAGATAGAATATCATGTGACTACGGGAACATGACATTGTTTAGGTTTTGTTTTTACATATTGCCTAGGATTTACTTCATCATAAGTTCTTCATCATAAGTTCCATGATATGGGTTATGGGAAAACAACCAAACATTGGGAATCAAATTCAGAACTTCAATTTGCCAACATACATACACTGCTGTGGCCTTGTTTGGCATGTATGTTGTTCTTTCCATTGAATTTGCGACTGGGTCTCTAAGAATGCATACAAGCCCTAGCAACTGTTTTCTATTTTGCCTATGTCTTCCTTGATAACAAATATGCTTCTTTCTGAGCAGGCTTTGCATGAAGCTTTAATGAGGCAAGAGGAATTGCTTGCTTACATTGATGCCCAAGAAGAAGCTAAGTTTCGGGTGAGTTTAATGTAGATGTTCTCACCTTGTACATGTAAATATGTAATATAGCAAGATTTTCGTAGAACATATGAGATTTATTTCTTTTGTGGTGAACTTTTAAAGTTATGAGATTTGTGTCTGACATGTTTCCTCCCTGTCTGTTATGCAGAAAAAGAAGTCTTGCTGGTGAGAGAGAGGTGAGGCCATGAAGAGTCTATGCAAGAGGATGTGTTCATGTTCGGCTGCTTTTGTGAGTTTCATTTTTCTACCAAATATTTTGCATACACCCACCCCCATAATCTTGCAGAAGATTGGGATTATTGTTTCTAACTATGTAACTTCCTTTCGAGATGGAATAGTTACTCTGTTGTGAGAAAGTGTGTGATGAATATATATACATTTGCTCTATATGATGCATGAATCATGTGTACTGAGTGTTCAGACTTTGAGTGGATTTGATGACCAAAGAATATCCATTTTCTTTACTTGGCTTAACCTGAGGCGAAAACCTTTGCTGTTGCATCACTTCGTTTGAACTTGGGATTAGGAGTTGTCTTACTGGTGTCTATCCTTGCTTCAAGCAAGTAAAATAGGGTGGGCTCGCACAGCTATATGGACCCCTTGCTTAAGCAAAGGAGAATACCTAGCTTGTTTCTTGTAGGCTTTCAAGTGCAAGCAACGGCTCGCAATCATAGCACGTTGATGAGTAGCACTAGCATTCTTTAAACCAAAAGGCATCACTGTATACTATAAGAGTTACCTATCTGAGTTCTGAAGACAGAGGAAGGAAGATATGAGTTAGGGCGAGGCATCTCCTTCAATTATGCCAGCTGAGTAGTCTAAGATCTTATCCTTCACTTGAGGGGGGGTAACTAATGAAAGAAAGATGGGACCAGATGCATTCTTAAAAGAAAGTGCTTTGCCTTTCCTCCTTAGTGGACCACCTCTATTACATGAGTTGTTTCCTAAACTCCTGTCCATATCAGGTAGTTATCATGAGGACTCAGAAGTTGGGTTTTACCTGGCTACCTGCATTTTTTTCGATGGAGGTTAGCTGGGTTGTTATAGGTTACAATTCACCGAGATAAACCCACAGTTGGTTACCTGCATTGTAATGCAAGAAGTTNCTGAGTGTTCAGACTTTGAGTGGATTTGATGACCAAAGAATATCCATTTTCTTTACTTGGCTTAACCTGAGGCGAAAACCTTTGCTGTTGCATCACTTCGTTTGAACTTGGGATTAGGAGTTGTCTTACTGGTGTCTATCCTTGCTTCNTGTGCGACTGGGTCTCTAAGAATGCATACAAGCCCTAGCAACTGTTTTCTATTTTGCCTATGTCTTCCTTGATAATAATTATGCTTCTTTCTGAGCAGGCTTTGCATGAAGCTTTAATGAAGCAAGAGGAATTGCTTGCTTACATTGATGCCCAAGAAGAAGCTAAGTTTCGGGTGAGTTTAATGTAGATGTTCTCACCTTGTACATGTAAATATGTAATATAGCAAGATTTTCGTAGAACATATGAGATTTATTTCTTTTGTGGTGAACTTTTAAAGTTATGAGATTTGTGTCTGACATGTTTCCTCCCTGTCTGTTATGCAGAAAAAGAAGTCTTGCTGGTGAGAGAGAGGTGAGGCCATGAAGAGTCTATGCAAGAGGATGTGTTCATGTTCGGCTGCTTTTGTGAGTTTCATTTTTCTACCAAATATTTTGCATACACCCACCCCCATAATCTTGCAGAAGATTGGGATTATTGTTTCTAACAATGTAACTTCCTTTCGAGATGGAATAGTTACTCTGTTGTGAGAAAGTGTGTGATGAATATATATACATTTGCTCTATATGATGCATGAATCATGTGTACTGAGTGTTCAGACTTTGAGTGGATTTGATGACCAAAGAATATCCATTTTCTTTACTTGGCTTAACCTGAGGCGAAAACCTTTGCTGTTGCCTCACTTCGTTTGAACTTGGGATTAGGAGTTGTCTTACTGGTGTCTATCCTTGCTTCAAGCAAGTAAAATAGGGTGGGCTCGCACAGCTATATGGACCCCTTGCTTAAGCAAAGGAGAATACCTAGCTTGTTTCTTGTAGGCTTTCAAGTGCAAGCAACGGCTCGCAATCATAGCACGTTGATGAGTAGCACTAGCATTCTTTAAACCAAAAGGCATCACTATATACTATAAGAGTTACCTATCTGAGTTCTGAAGACAGAGGAAGGAAGATATGAGTTAGGGCGGGGCATCTCCTTCAATTATGCCAGCTGAGTAGTCTAAGATCTTATCCTTCACTTGAGGGGGGGTAACTAATGAAAGAAAGATGGGACCAGATGCATTCTTAAAAGAAAGTGCTTTGCCTTTCCTCCTTAGTGGACCACCTCTATTACATGAGTTGTTTCCTAAACTCCTGTCCATATCAGGTAGTTATCATGAGGACTCAGAAGTTGGGTTTTACCTGGCTACCTGCATTTTTTTCGATGGAGGTTAGCTGGGTTGTTATAGGTTACAATTCACCGAGATAAACCCACAGTTGGTTACCTGCATTGTAATGCAAGAAGTTCACTAAGAAGTCATGTTTACTCTGGCCCTGAAGAATAATCTCATATATTTCGCGATGATGAGCACAACGTAACTCCTTGCTAAGCCTTGGGCTTTGACATAACTAGCAACTTTGCTTCTTATTTTGAAGCAAAACAACATGCATGAAGTTAATCAAGACTTTCTGTCTTTTGAGAGACTCAAAGTTTGAGACTCAGGTGGACTGACCTTTCATCTGAGCTACCTGGCTGATTAATAGAAAAAAAGAGGATCAAGCAGTGGGAGTCCTCATATATAATGTATTTTTAATTAGAATTATGCATTGTGGCATAGAAACAGTAGCTGATCAATGTTGAGCTCGAGGAAAGAACACTTTGTCTTCCTTTTGTGGCCAAACATACATAGAACCATGCATTTAATCGGGAAAGAATGGAAACATCATGTAATATTAACACAAAAGCTTTTAATTGAGGGTTTAACAAAGCAAACATTGGTGTAGAGATCANATAACCACGCATTTAATCGGGAAAGAATGGAAACATCATGTTATATTAACACAAAAGCTTTTAATTGAGGGTTTAACAAAGCAAACATTGGTGTAGAGNAGAACCATGCATTTAATCGGGAAAGAATGGAAACATCATGTAATATTAACACAAAAGCTTTTAATTGAGGGTTTAACAAAGCAAACATTGGTGTAGAGATCAGTGGACAGCATTTATGGGGCTGAAAAATCACCATCGCCACCGGTTTCAAAAATTCTCGCATCCCTCCTCCTAGCATCCTTTTAAGTTTTGATCATCTCACTTGTACACTGGGTTCTTGATTCAGAAACCAAAAATATTCTTTTTCTTCTTCTTCTCGATGTAGGCTAGAAGTTCTTCCTGTCGAACAAGAGCATCCTCAAGTACCTGCACAATGAACAAAATATGTGTAAAAAGACACCCTTTTAAAGCTATTTGTCTAGCTCTTGAGAACTTCGGAGCCACCATTTGTTATCATATATCCACTTGTTCGGATTAGAGTTCATCAGCTGCAATGAATATATATTAGGAAACCAAACACTACTATTTGCTTCGGATGTTATCTATATGGAGCAATAAGGCTGTTTTATTGTGACTTGGAAGTCAAAGATTTGAGCCACAGAAATAGCCCATCTGTACGCAGGAATAAGTGTGAATATATCTTACCTTTCTGTGCTATTTAAGCTGGTATTGGAGTACATATGTAATGTTAAGAACTAATCTTACATCTAGCATTTCCTTTTTTGGTGAAGATAATAGTTGTATTCCATAGTCAAGGAAGACAGAATGTTCTAATCAACCACCAGATCAAGATTTGACTAGGGTACCAAATTTTATTTTTTTTTCAGTATCATACCTCCATTTACTATATTTGTGTTTACTTTTATTATATTTGTGAGTATTTTTATCACTATTATATTACCCAAAAAAATGATAAAAATAGTTACCACAACAGGGGTAAAAACATTCATAAATATGATAAAAATACCATAAATGTGATAATCACCTACAAAAGTGATAATTTTTTTTGTACCTAAAAAAAGTGATAAAAATAATNTGTATTACTCAAAAAAATGATAAAAATAGTTACCACAACAGGGGTAAAAACATTCATAAATATGATAAAAATACCATAAATGTGATAAATCACCTACAAAAGTGATAATTTTTTTTGTACCTAAAAAAAGTGATAAAAATAATTACCACAAATATGGTAAAAATATCCACAACATAGGTAAAAACATCAACAAAAGTGATAAATTTTTTGGTTGTAAAATGACCCACAAAAATTATAAAAATATCATTTCAAATAGTAAATTTTTGAGATATAATACCGAATTGTTTTTGGNTAACCCACAAAAGTTGTAAAAATATCATTTCAAATAGTAAATTTTTGAGATATAATACCGAATTGTTTTTGGCGGTACCGCGGTCAAATCCACCAGATCAGTGCAATTATGCTGTAACTCACTGATTCTAGCTATCAAAATAGCATTCAGAAAAGCCAGATGGATACCTTCTTGGTTGCTGCGAGTTCTTGTTCCAAGGTATCAACACGGTTCATAGCAGTGTTGAGCATTTCCTCTTTCTCAGGTGGCATTGTTACTGGTTTCTTGCTTAAAACATTCACTTTTTCCTCCAGTTCTCCCATGCGCTTCATCATGGTGAAATAGTCAGTGCTGGAAATGGCGGGTGCTGGTAACTTGTAGGGATGATCTTGGCCTCTGATCATCTCATCAACAGCGTACATTGAACTAGAATAGAGTGTGACATCTGTAAGCTTTCTCGGCATGTTGCGCGTCATACGAACCATAGTGACAATGCCCATAACAATGGCCATTAGTCCAGTAAAAATTTGATTGCTTATTCCTTCAGTAGTAGGCTTGCAAGCATCATGCATAGGATAATAATCTGTTGGCAGAAAAGAAATATACCATTTGATCTCTTTTCTTTGTATTCAAACACATTCCACAAGATATTGTTAATAGAAAATCATAAAAGCGGTGCAATTACAAACTGAAATAGTCTTCCACCTACCTAGATCTTGTAGAGACTATGTCAAAAGTTTACATTAATATCAAAACATTCTTCAGATATCTACCAACATTTCAAAATACAAAATGAATAAAATTGGACCGAGGATGGTCGCAACTTCTTGTGGTTATCATAGAGGACTCTGAGAAGAAATTAACATGGCCTGTCGATCATACAAAGTAGGCATGACATCTATTAAACAATGGTATGACTTAAGTATTTATATTTCAACATGCTCCCTCACATGCAAACTAAATTTTGAGCCTAGCTCGTGATTTTTTTTTTTAATAATTAGGGTGATGCCAAAATTCGAACATAGGACTTCCTGTTTTGATACTGTGTTAAACAATCATCTACTTCAAAAGCTCAAGTAAGAGAGGGAAGGGTTAAGGATTCAGCCGGTGTGAGATATCACATTATTTGAGGAACCCTAGATGTTGTCGGACTAAAGGATCGTCTACAAGGGTGTTCTAGTGCATTGTAAATTCTTATCCAAAACATGTATCATTTGATGATACCATGCAAATCACTATAAATATGTGAAGTGTATGACTAACCCAATAACAAATGTTTTGTATGGGACTGGAGTGGGCTACCGTAAGATAAACGATCTTCTTTCTAAAGAAATTCGATTTAGAACTATTATATGTCCACGTTTCAATAAGTTTTTAGAAAATGTGCAACTTAAGTATTTATCTTTCACCATCACCAAACGTGAAATTATCTGCAGACAAAATGTACTGCCACTTGGAAAACTATAAACATATTAAGGAATGAATTATTTACCTCTAGAAAGGGCAAACCTGTCGTCTTTTACCACTTTAGGCCAAGTTGCATCCACAGACTTGTCAACCATTGGAACGTAGTAGTCATGCGCATACCCACTATGGCAGTTTTTGCTTATGTTAACCTGCAAATTTGTTTTTCATAAAATCAATCACACTATATTGAACAGTAATAATGACAAAGCGTTACAACTGTCTTAACAAAATGCGATAATCAAAAGACAGAAAAAACAAGTGTAAGGAACTAAGTAATAAAAGGAAGGGAAACTTATATCACTGTATATCCTTTCTTTTTTTAGTTCAACGGCCGGAAGTGTCCAGTCCAGTCATGAAGGATTTGGGTCTGGCCTCAAAGAATTGCAAAAATTCGAATTCAGGGCGTTTAAGTTTACACTCGTTCTTGTTACTACTTGAACTACCCCTTAGGGTTGATTGTATATCCATTCATTTGTTCAGATCGGTGGACAAGTAGATGAAGAGAAGCAAAAAAAGACACATTTCTACTGTTTCACACCCGTCCCAAAAGTAGACAAATTTTTACCAATCTCCCACTACTTTAAGGGCAACTATGTCCCAAAGCATGTTTACTTCTGTTTCTTTGAGAATACAATGATAGAATGAGAATTCACTTTATTCTATTCATCACTACCTCAAACTTGTTTCATTTCAAATCATATTTCCAGTTCCAAGAACTTCAGATTTTGACAGAGAAAGCAATTCACAGGAAACAAGGAATCGCAATGTACCCGTTACTTTTCATTCTGTGCAGATGAAAGTAAAAACAATGGCATCACCAACTGGAGGTGTAATCAAATATGGGCAAGAAGAGGAAATGTGAATGCAAAACATTCCACATCCCAATCGATAATTCTAAATGACATTGAAAAAAAAATAAGAATTAGCATCTATAAAACAAAACATGCCGCACAAAAATATTTTCAAGTTTTGATTTGACTTGCAGCATCTTTAATGCAATGTTGCAAAATTTTTCAGCATCTAATGAAAAAAAATAAGTTACAATAATGTTGAACAAAAGCAAAAGTAAAAGGACTGATCCAAAATTTATAGTTGAACTGATGTATCACTGCATGATTGACTCTTAATAAATGCATTTGAACAAAACGAATTTATAATTTTGAACTTCACTCATATATAATTGACCTGATTTTTAACAATACTGACGCTGATGAAGATTATAAAGAAAATTTGACAAGAAGGCATTTTGGTTCGGCCATTCTGTATTGCCCCTACATAGTCCTAAAATCTTCCTTGTGGTCTATCATAGTNAATTGACCTGATTTTTAACAATACTGACGCTGATGAAGATTATAAAGAAAATTTGACAAGAAGGCATTTTGGTTCAGCCATTCTGTATTGCCCCTACATAGTCCTAAAATCTTCCTTGTGGTCTATCATAGTTCTTAGGCACATGCACATCCTCATTCCTATCTAACCAGGTTCATTTGGCTGCTCACCTCAGACCGTAACCATTAATCACAATACCATCATTCATTCATTCACATGTGATGAGAGCAGGAACAACTCACCTCTTCACGCACAGGAGAGAGTTGTGGATGCGCCATATAATCCCTTGGAAGCCGAGGAGAGTCTGTTTCAGAGTTGAATGAATTGCACTTCTTCACATTCTACACGGAGAAAAGGAATTATAAATCAAGTGTTGTAAAAGTCTATTATACCTTGGCAGGCAGAACATCCAAAAAAAATCCCAATCTTAAGCAACTTAAATGTAGCTAAAAGAAGTATATAACATGGAGAATAAGAAAAGCCAGAGACGTGCCCACAGTTTGGGTACCTTTAAATTAGCACTTTCATCCTCTGAAATTGTCTTCTCATCAACGGTGAATTTTGATGAACATTTGTGTGCGCCGTTATGAACCATCTGACCCACCAAATAAACACCTTTTTAGTACTCTTATTATTAATAATCTAAAACAATTTGGAATTTTGGAGAAAACGTGGCAGAAACCTTCATTGTTTCTGGATCATTCCACGGGCCCTTATCAGAAAGCATACAACCACCTTTATCTGCACAATTACATGTACCACCCAGGAACTCTGGTAGCTCACTGATACAGACCAGGAAAGTAAATTTCTGTGAGGTTCCAATACTAACATTCTAGACATACAATACAATAAACCTACGAGTCTCTCTAGCAAAGGAGAGAGAAAACAAATGCAATGCCAATTATTTCATTACAAACAATTTACCTAGCATCAATTATTTCAAGCAACTTGCTTTGGTATTTGTTGCCCAGAACCTGGTAACAGAGCCATTAACTTGTTAATACAAATTTGACAAGAATCGACATTACTCTGAGGTAAACAGATACTAAACCTTACATGAATCTTTGCAGTGGTCTTTGGGTCAAGAAATGACTTAACCGTATTCCATAAGAGCCTAAATCCAGACCCAGCGTTGACAATGTACATGCGACAAAGAGTCTAAAATGGACAAACATTTAAATGACAGATAATCAACAATAAAAAGGAAAATCAAGAAACTTGGGGAAAAAATTAAGTTCAATCACAAAATTACCTCAGGATAGTTGTCACCATCAACCTTCTGAAGGCGCTGGATAAGTTCCCTTGCAGCTTTGTTAAAATTTTTCAGTCCCTAGGATATCAAAATGTTTAATCAGTGTTACTAACTCAGCTTTTTCTTAAAAGGAATTCAAGGAAACAATAATGATATGTTGTGTGCCCATGGCTCGTATGTGAAGGACATAGACAGCACAATCAGATTAGAGGGTGTTTGTTTCACGGGATACTGAAGAATTATGATTCTCATAAATGGTTTTTGGCATCTTGAAGAATTATTGTAGAAGGAATTGACATAGATTTAGCAGCTTCATCACAGAAATTCTGTATGTTGAAACGGTTGGTGTCATGACTCTTTTGCTAGGGGTCATCGGAAAATCAGTTAGAAACCAACTAAGAAGTTTGTTTGGCTACTATTTGCAAGGAACTCACATACCACTCCTTGTACATCCAGAATAGTTGTGCTCTGATCAATGTGCTTTTTTGCTGATATAGAACAGGCCGGGAACTTATCAATAAAGGTCCTCTCAAACTCCTGTATGTGGTATTTAACATAGCGGTCCATTGTTGTGACTTGCATGAGCTTGTTGGAATCAACTTTTCCAATTTGTTCAATATAAACAGGTCGTCCATCCTTATCAACCCCGTGATGTCCTTGTGGATAATACTGGAGGACCTCATCTTTTTCCTTGAACTCAAAATCCTAACCACAAAAAGGAAGGGGATTCAGATGCCTATTGTGGCTATTAAATAGTATAGTTCCACCATAAGGTCCGTAAATACAGAAGTATTTCAAATCAATTATATGTATTTTTTTTGCAAATACCTCCATGATTGTGTCTGCACCAAATTCCTTCCTCCAGTTGAGCATATCAGCCCACATTTGCTTTGTTTTCTCAATGTCAAACTTCCTGGCCTTCAAAAATCTATATCATCGGCAATCAAATTGCATCCCAATGGGCGTTCTTATATCAGTCAAGAGTGAGGTTAAGAAAACTGAAAAAATAACACTTAAGATATGAAGCAGTGCTGGCTCCGTGCACTGAAATTGTAGTGTGCCCTTGCATACACAAGTAAATGCCCCTCATGGAGAATGCAATGCAAAAACATAATATATACATCCATGCCCATCATCTCTAAGAAAAAAGAATAAAAATTTTCATAATATACAGAACTACTGCAGAAGATGTGGGCTGAAAAAAGTGATGCTAAAGTGAGACATGCACACTATTCATCTGAGACCTGCTGGAAAGAAGAGGATGATAGACACATTAGGTGGAGATCGCAACAGGCTTGATACAAAAGGGGCTTGCAATATATGCCAAGATATCTAAAAGAAAAATCCCCAGGAAAAGAAAACAACTAAACCCTAGGCTTGACTTTGAGGCACGTTAAGTAAGTTATTATTATCACTCAATGGCTGGTAGAAATGGAACTCCCTGTGCATGTTTACTTCCTTCGCTAATATTAGATCGAGTTGTTAAAAAACTTTGTCTGTTTGACGTCTTTATGTATATGCTTCTAAATTCACCTCTCCTTTCTTTGGTTATCTACAAACCAAAGAAAGAAAACAACATTTCAATGGCCTCATTGAAAATTGAAGCCAAAAGGAAGATTTGCCACCATTCACCTGCTTGTACACCATTACGAGAAATTGAAAGAACAATAAGGGTAGTGCAACCATCTTGAAAACCAGAAACAATTGTGATGTTAAAACTTAATTCAGATTCCATTATCAAGGGATTAAAGCAAGACATGATTTATGTTTAACTTATAATCTAGTTAGACATTAAAATTCACAAAAATAATGAACATAAGAAAGAATATCACCTTAGCATCATGTGATAATCATCGTGTTTTGCAGGTAGTAATTCTTCCAATATGAGGGCTTGACGTAATGCATCAACTGCCTGTACTTCCTCAGCATCACGCTCATCCTCAAACACAACAGACATGACTCTGCTGTTTCTCCTGCCCTTTTTTGTCAAGGAATGCCTAAACTTGGTAGAGGCATTAATTGCCTTCTTCTTGAGAGATCCAAGCCTTGTCTTCCTGTCGTCTTCAGAATTTTCAATGTCAACCCTTTCAAGACCTGTTCACAAGTTTCGCCAAAGAAAGACTCTCAATTGCAATGCATGGTCTAATCAAGACAAGATAAACTTCCAATAACGGTTCTTGCCAAAGAATCAAACAAGTGCACTATATAGAATGGATAATGATATCGTATAAACTCAACCATTGATGTGTCCAATTAACATAACCAATTAAAAGTCCATCGCGAGAACTAACATTGTATTTTAAACAAAAATGATCATGTTTCAATAGATTGTTGGTTCTCTCCAACAATTCATAAACTCTTGCTTTTCTTCTCAACAAGGGTCTTTTAAAGCTTATTCAAATGACAGGAAGTCCATATTCACAATCAAAGTAAAAGGAAGGCGCATGTCTTATTTGAACTCCCCTGAACCTGACGGATGAATCTTGATCTTTATATAACTATTCTGATAAAAGATTCTATGTATTAACCTGTCTAATAATAACAGGATAATTAATTGTGATTGTCAATATTAATTTACATCTTCTATGTTACATTAAAAGGAGCTGCGCATCTTAAAAAAAAATTCGTAAGGACATTTGCATCCCTAATAACACGGTCTTAAAAAGATTAGAGGATGAATACAAGTGAAATACTTCATGATCAAAGAACACTTACTGGGCCTAATGGGTCGTTCAAGAGGTCCAGACATAGTGTCACTCATGATTGCAATGCGGAAGTCTGATCACGTGGGACAATAAATGTTACCACAGTGCTGGACCTTATGCCGTTGCCGAATGCCTACACCTTTTACAACATAAAATTCAGTGACTAACATACCAAGAGAACAAAAACTTCACTACTATACTGAAGCAAATAACCAAACCTCCCACAATACCACCTATGCTTATAAAATAACAGTTAAATTCTAAGGTCCAAAACGAAAATAGAATTATCAACCTGTAAATTCAAAATATTAGCACAGATCAATACCTTCATATAACAGAGCATAACAGATTATGTTGATAGTAAAAACATACAAGATGTCTTTGCTGTTGAATGCATTCAATGAATCCATTTGCTGGCTCTTGTTTTCCCATGGTATTGCATTGGTATAAAATACAAAGAATTATATTCCTCGGAATCCATTAATTTCATCCGAAATTTTAAAAATTGAAAACAGATTCAATCTAATGAGTATCTTGTAACCGAAAACCCATTTTCTTATCCTATAATCATATTCAATGATTTAATCTCAATTGACGCTAGAATTTAAAAAAAAAAAAAAACCCCTCCACAAGAAACACACCAACAATAATTTTGCACATTGAGGCCGTATTGCATAATGCCTCGATACAACAAACTCCTTAAACACAAAAATAAGATCAAACAATGTAGCAAACAACAAACACAAACACCCCCATTGTATAATATTTCTAAGAGCTCGATATCAGATTCAAACAGCTATTCAAATCAAACGAAATAAATCAGTAAAAGAAAAGCCAGATTACGTAATTGAATTGTGAATTAGTTCTTGAAATCCAGAGAGAGAGAGAGAGAGAGGGGGAGGAGAAATTATTACCAGTGACAAATGCAGGGCTTTNGAAAACAACAAACACAAACACCCCCATTGTATAATATTTCTAAGAGCTCGATATCAGATTCAAATAGCTATTCAAATCAAACGAAATAAATCAGTAAAAGAAAAGCCAGATTACGTAATTGAATTGTGACTTAGTTCTTGAAATCCAGAGAGAGAGAGAGAGGGGGAGGAGAAATTATTACCAGTGACAAATGCAGGGCTTTGAGAAAGAAGGAGAAAGAGAGTTTTTAAATCACCGAATAATCCTCAAAAATTGCGGTGCCAATAATACAGCAATTTATTCTGAACACAGAATGTCACAAGCATCGAAACCCCAATATAGTAATTGCGAACGAAATATATATAGAAAATTTGGACAGAGAATCTGTTTCATCTCTTTGACGAGGTCCTCGACCCCATGACCTGTCTGAATTCTAAATATATACATATATCTGTGTATATATATAGGCGCACAGAGAGAGAGAGAGAGAGAGAGAGGGGGGAAGTGCACGCCACTCCGTTCAAATTGCAGATTGCAACGCGAACTGACCTACTAACGGTCCTTTTGACCCTTTTACCCGGCAAAAGATTTTATTCTATACTTTGGGAGTGCATCTGTTATACGACCAATCAAATTTCAACACTTTTATTACCATGTGATATCAAAGTTCAAACCCAAATTTAGATAATTGATTAAAAATACCTCCTTATATTTAACCAATTAAATTTTAATATGGTCTTTTAATAATTATCAACTCTCCGATATGGAGCTATGTTCTTCGTCTGGCTTGTTTTTGACCATATTCATACTACGTAGTAGGGCGACGATTGTCATATTTATTATCGAGCGATCATTACAGTAACATTTGTAGTAATATATGCATCATTGATTTTATGGTGGAAACTTAAAGCATGATTGATATAGCACTTACTTTGAAATATAAAGTCTACAACATGATAATTGGATCATCATTTTTTTGTTGTGTGGATGTTAAGATGGATGCCTGTAGGGGTGTTCATCTTATCCTACGTATAGGAAATATGTTATTTCATCTTTTTATCTGATATTTTGCGGAAGAGTTTTTTCTTGGCCTACCCTACCCGACAGGTGTGGTATTCCTATCTGTCTTTCTATTAATCGGGTAAACATTTTTGTAACAATTAATTTTTTAATCATTTTAACAATTTAATTAAATAACATGTACCAATTTAACAACACAATAAATCAATTAACACTAAAATTTAAAACAAGTACAACAAGAATTATAATAAAACACAAAAAAGTATGAACATCAATCTATCATAATTGTTACACAAATACAATAACAATTAATTTAAGTTTAAACTTTAAACCATATGAAATACATTAAAATCATAATTGTTCTGCTAGGGTTTAGGATTTTTTTCAGTTTATATATATATTATAAAATTATTGCTAGTAGGGTAGGGTAGGAATGCGGAAATGGATGACTATTCCGCATTCCTACCCGAAAATTGTCGAAAAATCAAAAACTCTTCCGCATTTCTATCCGATTTTTACGGCTAATCGTTTAATAGGGTAAGGTAGGGTCGGGTAAGGTAGAAACTTACGACGGGTCAGAAATTTGAACACCCCTAGATGCCTGTTGAAAATAGATATTATTGAATTAGGACTTGGTATACTCAAGTAAAGGTAAAAATAATTTTTGTAATTCAAACTCATATTGTCCAAGTTACAATTGAAAAAGTTTGGTCATGTTTGATGTGCATCCCCAAAAATTATTTTCTATTTTCGAAATAGTTTATGAAAGAAAAGTTATTTGATCAGCTATTTTTTAAAAATTGAAAACAAAAACTGAGTAGATTTATCTCTAATGACTTCTCTAAAGGTAACATATATTTGAAGGCACGGCGCAATGTGAATAGTTTTGAGAAGGATGTTAGTGGCCGTTAAATGAGTTTATTTGACCATCGAATGAACTTATTAAAATTTACCTTTTTTTATATTATAGATTAAAGCTATTTAATTTATTTATTTTTAAATTTAGAAAATACCATCACCATCACCACTACCCCACTCCCAGCACCACCCATCCACCAACACCACCACAGTTTTATTATTACATTTTTGTTTTCATTATTTTTCTGATTTATTGTCTAAACAAGTTTTATTGTTTTATATTTCGTAAAACTATTTTTGGAACATATAATTAAACACGTTATGCGACACAAAAATACAAAAAAAAAATTTCTAAAACTCTTACTAAAAATAATTTTTGGATATAATTTTTTAATACGCAAACCAAATAAGACTTTGTGACTATGGGGCTTGACTACTACGAAAGCAGGCACGGTACTAAAAATTATAATTTTTATTGCTGAATTTTATAATTTTTGAGGGCTTAGTTACAAAAAAGAAGAAATTAGGCTTACTTCTTAAAAATTATATATTTTTTGGGGGATAACTGTTGCACTTTTGTTCTCGAAGTTCTAATTTCATCGTTTTTGTTCACCATGTTAATATATTGATTAACTTTGATTCTTACCTCTAACTGTCGTCCAAAAAAATGACGAAAAAGAGCATGTGAGCAACATGTGATGGACTTAAAGGACAATGGAGTCATTTAATATTTTTTCCCCGCCCCATTTAACCTGTTCAAAATTGGATTGAGAATTTCGGATATATAACCATTAGAGGTGAAATCAAGAGATATTTCTCCTCTCCTTAGGGTTTCAAATATTTCTGTAATGGTTGTTTGTAATATCCACAAGTGGTAAAAATATTCATAAAAATAATAAATCAAGTAAAAAATAATAATTTTTTTTTTTAAAATATTCACAAAAGTAAAAAAAAAAATACCCATAAAAATAATAAATTTTGAATATATGGAAGCAAATTTTTGCAATAATGTCCAGTCCCGAGAAAAATATCTCAACNCTACATTCCTACTCGAAAATTGTCGAAAAATCAAAAACTCTTCCGTATTTCTATCTGATTTTTACGGCTAATCGTTTAATAGGGTAAGGTAGGGTCGGGTAAGGTAGAAACTTACGACGGGTCAGAAATTTGAACACTCCTAGATGCCTGTTGAAAATAGATATTATTGAATTAGGACTTGGTATACTCAAGTAAAGGTAAAGATAATTTTTGTAATTCAAACTCATATTGTCCAAGTTACAATTGAAAAAGTTTGGTCATGTTTGATGTGCATCCCCAAAAATTATTTTCTATTTTCGAAATAGTTTATGAAAGAAAAGTTATTTGATCAGCTATTTTTTAAAAATTGAAAACAAAAACTGAGTAGATTTATCTCTAATGACTTCTCTAAAGGTAACATATATTTGAAGGCACGGCGCAATGTGAATAGTTTTGAGAAGGATGTTAGTGACCGTTAAATGAGTTTATTTGACCATCGAATGAACTTATTAAAATTTACCTTATTTTATATTATAGATTAAAGCTATTTAATTTATTTATTTTTAAATTTAAAAAATACCATCACCACCACCACTACCCCACTCCCAGCACCACCCATCCACCAACACCACCACAGTTTTATTATTACATTTTTGTTTTCATTATTTTTTTGATTTATTGTCTAAACAAGTTTTATTGTTTTATATTTCGTAAAATTATTTTTGGAACATATAATTAAACACGTTATGCGACACAAAAATACAAAAAAAAAAAATTTCTAAAACTCTTACCAAAAATAATTTTTGGATATAATTTTTTAATACGCAAACCAAATAAGACTTTGTGACTATGGGGCTTGACTACTACGAAAGCAGGCACGGTACTAAAAATTATAATTTTTATTGCTGAATTTTATAATTTTTGAGGGCTTAGTTACAAAAAAAAAGAAATTAGGCTTACTTCTTAAAAATTATATATTTTTTGGGGGATAACTGTTGCACTTTTGTTCTCGAAGTTCTAATTTCATCGTTTTTGTTCACCATGTTAATATATTGATTAACTTTGATTCTTACCTCTAACTGTCGTCCAAAAAAATGACGAAAAAGAGCATGTGAGCAACATGTGATGGACTTAAAGGACAATGGAGTCATTTAATATTTTTTCCCCGCCCCATTTAACCTGTTCAAAATTGGATTGAGAATTTCGGATATATAACCATTAGAGGTGAAATCAAGAGATATTTCTCCTCTCCTTAGGGTTTCAAATATTTCTGTAATGGTTGTTTGTAATATCCACAAGTGGTAAAAATATTCATAAAAATAATAAATCAAGTAAAAAATAATAATTTTTTTTTTTAAAATATTCACAAAAGTAAAAAAAAAAATACCCATAAAAATAATAAATTTTGAATATATGGAAGCAAATTTTTGCAATAATGTCCAGTCCCGAGAAAAATATCTCAACGACCAAAAGAGAATGATCCTGACAGCACATGTATTAGATCACAGCCAAGTGGACGGTCACGATTTTGCAAGAATGTCTAGGATGTTGACAATTGTCATGCTATATTTTTCCCGCCATTTCTCGTGTAGTACAAGGATTGGGTCCCTCCAGAGTCTAGATATCTTTTAGACTGAGCAATCTTCCTTCCATTTGTTAGTTGCTTCCGATTTTCAGTTTCTTGGGGTTTGATCTAATTCCCAAATTACCCTCTACCTTTTTTTCCCAATACTTTTTTGCTTTTACTTTCATTTTTTTTNCTACGTAGTAGGGCGACGGTTGTCATATTTATTATCGAGCGATCATTACAGTAACGTTTTTAGTAATATATGCATCATTGATTTTATGGTGGAAACTTAAAGCATGATTGATATAGNGGCGCAATGTGAATAGTTTTGAGAAGGATGTTAGTGACCGTTAAATGAGTTTATTTGACCATCGAATGAACTTATTAAAATTTACCTTATTTTATATTATAGATTAAAGCTATTTAATTTATTTATTTTTAAATTTAAAAAATACCATCACCACCACCACTACCCCACTCCCAGCACCACCCATCCACCAACACCACCACAGTTTTATTATTACATTTTTGTTTTCATTATTTTTTTGATTTATTGTCTAAACAAGTTTTATTGTTTTATATTTCGTAAAATTATTTTTGGAACATATAATTAAACACGTTATGCGACACAAAAATACAAAAAAAAAAAATTTCTAAAACTCTTACCAAAAATAATTTTTGGATATAATTTTTTAATACGCAAACCAAATAAGACTTTGTGACTATGGGGCTTGACTACTACGAAAGCAGGCACGGTACTAAAAATTATAATTTTTATTGCTGAATTTTATAATTTTTGAGGGCTTAGTTACAAAAAAAAAGAAATTAGGCTTACTTCTTAAAAATTATATATTTTTTGGGGGATAACTGTTGCACTTTTGTTGTCGAAGTTCTAATTTCATCATTTTTGTTCACCATGTTAATATATTGATTAACTTTGATTCTTACCTCTAACTGTCGTCCAAAAAAATGACGAAAAAGAGCACGTGAGCAACATGTGATGGACTTAAAGGACAATGGAGTCATTTAATATTTTTTCCCCGCCCCATTTAACCTGTTCAAAATTGGATTGAGAATTTCGGATATATAACCATTAGAGGTGAAATCAAGAGATATTTCTCCTCTCCTTAGGGTTTCAAATATTTCTGTAATGGTTGTTTGTAATATCCACAAGTGGTAAAAATATTCATAAAAATAATAAATCAAGGAAAAAATAATAATTTTTTTTTTTTTAAATATTCACAAAAGTAAAAAAAAAAATACCCATAAAAATAATAAATTTTGAATATATGGAAGCAAATTTTTGCAATAATGTCCAGTCCCGAGAAAAATATCTCAACGACCAAAAGAGAATGATCCTGACAGCACATGTATTAGATCACAGCCAAGTGGACGGTCACGATTTTGCAAGAATGTCTAGGATGTTGACAATTGTCATGCTATATTTTTCCCGCCATTTCTCGTGTAGTACAAGGATTGGGTCCCTCCAGAGTCTAGATATCTTTTAGACTGAGCAATCTTCCTTCCATTTGTTAGTTGCTTCCGATTTTCAGTTTCTTGGGGTTTGATCTAATTCCCAAATTACCCTCTACCTTTTTTTCCCAATACTTTTTTGCTTTTACTTTCATTTTTTTTCTCTTTTCCTTATGTCTTTTTTTTTTCTCTTTTCTATCTAAATAGTAGGCCTCTCAATAAATAATATTTTAATCTAAATATGAATTAATATTTTTTATTAATAATTTAAATGTAAATTTAATTTTATTAAATCATAGTTAATTAATTTAAATTTTAATATACTAATATTCAATCTAATAATATATTTATATTTGTATTAAATTAAGTCATTATTTAATAAAATTGTATTGAAATTTAAATATAATTTTCTAAAATACTATTTAATTTAGCCATTTTCAATCTGATCAAATATTCGATTATTAACAGATTTGAATATGAATTATAAAAATAAAATTTGTTAAATAATCGGATCAAATCGAATCGAATTAAATTGATTACAATGTGGTCAAAAACATACGAGTTGATACTTGATAGGCTTATTCTTTAGCCAGTCAAGAAATATATTTTAATTCAAATTTAAATCCAACAAAAAAGATATGAATTGATATTTTGTATTAATAATTTAAATTATAATTTATTAAATCATGTTTAATAAATTTAATTTTTGATATACTAATATTGCTAATTAAAAAATAAATTATTATTTAAAATATAAATATTACAATATCAATGTTTAATTTTTAAAATTACAGTTTATTAATTACAGGTATAAATAAAATAGAAAGGTTTGGTGGATAAAATTAATGAGTAATTAATTAAGGCCATTTTAGTGGTTGACTAGTGATTATCCTCTTGATAGATTCTCGCCTCGGCGGCACTCTCCGCGTCTATCGTGCTTTTGGATTTTTGTCGTCTTCTTCTCTCTCTCTCTCATGTATGTAGGGAGAGAGACTGAAACCGCTTCTTGAGCTTCTGGTTTTCACACGGAGAACACCTCGTATTCGCCGTCTCGTTGCTGAGTGTTAAACGACTGAACTCCTCTGAGTATAGTTGAAACCCTAATTTCATCAACAATTTTCAGGTTGGCTCTCCGATCGGTAGGTTTCTATTTGCATTTCGATTAATTCCAGTTTTGTTTAGATTTTAGTAACATTGCTTTGACGTATTATATGGGTTACCATTCTGAAAATCATGTTGAGAATCGATCATTGATTGCATTGTTGAGAACAATTTTTGATTGTGTAGAATCGGTGATTTTGATATAATTAAATAAAGAAATTGACTTTTATGTCATTATTTGATGGTTGAGTAAATTTCTTTTGTCGAGTCATGCTGGAAAAGATCATTTGTTCGCACCTATCGTCGTCAACTTTAAGCATCTTTTGTCTTAGTTGATATAGCCGTTGTGAATTATGATGCATATTTCTTAATTTAATTCGTTGTTTTGTGTACTAAAAGGCAGCTTGAATTCGCAACATTAGTAGTAATATGGAAAGTCAGGAGAAGATTTATTGTTTTTTTTTTCATTTATTTATTTCAGGTTTTGTTGCGCATCTGCAAAACTGGGTTGGGTAGTCTGGGTTGTGACTCATCATATATAAGTTTCTCCAAGGCTTTTAAAGTCGTTATGGCTAGTGAAATTCTCACGGGTCTTCCTAATGGCAGCACTAATACACATCCTGATCCACAGAGGACTTACCAAGTTGTTGTGGCTGCAACTCGAGATATGGGTATTGGCAAGGATGGGAAATTACCCTGGAGATTGCCTTCTGACCTCAAATTTTTCAAGGAAGTTACCATGAATACATCTGATTCTACGAAAAAGAATGCGATCATAATGGGCAGAAAAACATGGGAAAGTATTCCTCTGGAGCATCGTCCTCTTCCTGGTCGCCTTAATGTCGTACTGACTCGTTCTGGGAGTTTTGATATTGCAACTGCAGAGAATGTTGTGATATGTGGAAGCATGGTTTCTGCCTTGGAATTATTGGCAGCATCTCCTTATTTTCTCTCAATTGAGAAAGTGTTTGTAATAGGAGGTGGTGAGATATTAAGGTGCGTGCTCTTACTGATTCATCTGCTGTGGTGAAGCTTTTCTTTCTACCTTGACTTTGACTGATTATCTCTCTGATGCAGTGGATCCCTTAATGCACCTGGATGCGATGCTATCCATATCACTGAAATTGAAGCAAGCATTGAATGCGATACTTTCATGCCTGCAATTGATACCTCTGTATTTCAGCCATGGTACTCATCCTCCCCACTGGTGGAAAATAATATTCGCTATTCTTTCACCACTTATGTTCGTGTGAGGGATTTTCCGGTTGAACCTCTTAGTCAGACCAGTGGTCTGATGTCTGAAAATAGTTCAGATTCTCTCAAGTTTGACGTAAAGAATTTTTCTTTCCTGCCTAAGATGATATTTGAGAAACATGACGAGTATTTGTATCTGAGGCTGGTTGAAGACATCATCTCTGATGGCATCTTAAAGGATGACAGGACAGGGACTGGTACTTTGTCAAAATTTGGTTGCCAGGTAATACCAAGTTGATATTTACGTAGAGAGTCCTAGACTTTTACTTGTCACATTCTGCTTCTAGTGATCACATCATCAACTCCTACTGATGGTATATTTGATGTTCATTTGCATTTTGGACATAGATGCGGTTCAATTTGCGCAAGTCTTTTCCTCTTCTGACAACTAAGGTCTGTAGTTTGCTGAGCTAATATTTATCTTCGATTGCTGTGATTGTATTCGCTTTTTCAGTGATTTGTTTCCTTTTATGCATCTCCAATTTATTTTGTTCATGATATGTTTTACATCATGAGATTGACTCATATCTATATATAAAACATTTTCTGTTGCTTCCCTAAGATAGGATGACATATTAATTCTTTTTGTGGTTTTGCAGAAAGTATTTTGGCGAGGCGTTGTTGAAGAGCTTCTGTGGTTCATCAGTGGCTCAACTAATGCTAAGGTAAGATGTTACTGTTGAACATTTTTAACTGGTCTGCTCATTATCATATTATTACACCAAGGAACCATAGTGTCCAAAAGTTGTAGTTGAACAAGAAAAGAAACTGTTTGTTGAACCTAATGGCCTTGTTGTACTTCTTTGCGTGGTGTTCTAATTTTGAGTTCATGCATCTTTATGATTGTGGTTCAATTAAAAGCCAGAAGAGAGTTTTAGAAGCACATGAAGGATTGGACGAGTGCGTAGGATGTTCATGATATGCATGCATCTTTTCTTGGGGCTTGCGTGATGAAGATTATGTGTCCCTTGTTTGTCTACTTGCAGTAGTTTTCTTGTTAAATCATAATTTTAAAATGGCCGTTGGAAGATCTGTGCTTCTTGGGAGCAGAGATAATTAATTGTCGAATTTCAGAATTCTATAACCTAATTTTCTTGGTTTTGTTTATATTAGTTACATCATTTTGAGGCTCTGAATGATGTCAGCTTTATGATTGTCATCCATGATATGAAGGCTATAGTTGAAATATTTCTGCTGTAATTGTGGTTGCATGTGACAAATCAAGTAGCTCTACTGGGTGGATGTCCTAAAATTCTACATCTTGCTACATTTAGTGCCATAGAAAAATCAAATCATGTCATCTGTGGATAGTTTTTGAAGCAATGCATTCAGAGCTAGGAATGAGAGGAGTCCTCCGTTTCAATTTTTGTAAGGAATTCATGCAAAAAAGTGTTGCCCTNAAATCATGTCATCTGTGGATAGTTTTTGAAGCAATGCATTCAGAGCTAGGAATAAGAGGAGTCCTCCGTTTCAATTTTTGTAAGGAATTCATGCAAAAAAGTGTTGCCCTTTTTATGCAATTAGAGCAATTAACTTTTCTAAAATGTGGCAAAATGCAATTCGGGTAACTTTGTTCATTGCAAAAATAAAATCTGACAAGAGTTAATGTGGTTGCATGCGAAGACTATATTTAGAATTTTAAAGAAGCATTTTGTTTCAGAATTTGGTATCCATTAGAACAATTGATAGATATCATGTCACCTGACAATGAGTTCATACAAGAATGTGGTTTCTTGCCTTAAAAATCTGCCACAGAATATGAGTGAATTTTTTGGCAGTGGGATGAGTATTTACTGTACTCTACAGGCCCTGCAGGAAAAGGGGATTCATATATGGGATGGCAATGCATCCAGAGACTACCTTGACAGGCAAGTAGTTGGATCTTTCTAGGTGTGTGATTTAACTTGTCACACTTTTCTGATTGATATAGTTATTCTTTCTATTTCAGTATTGGTTTGTTGGATTGGGAAGAAGGTGACTTAGGACCCGTCTATGGGTTTCAATGGAGACATTTTGGTGCTAGGTTAGTGAATTTTACTTAAATAGTGATCCATATTTCTAGGAAGTTCAACTGATATTGACTTAAGGACTTGTGATATGCAGCTATACTGACATGCATGCCGACTACACTGGCCAAGGATTTGATCAGTTGTTGGATGTCATTGGCAAGATTAAAAATAATCCAGATGACCGGCGGATTATTCTGTCAGCTTGGAATCCTTCTGATATCAAACTGATGGCACTTCCACCTTGTCACATGTTTGCACAGGTTAGTATTACAAAGTTGATGGATGCTTTTTTTGTTGGTGCTCTGCCATTAATTACACTTCATTTTCTTTGCTTTTTTAGTTCTATGTAGCCCAGGGGGAGTTATATTGTCAAATGTATCAGCGTTCTGCCGATATGGGTCTGGGTGTGCCATTCAACATTGCATCTTATGCACTCTTGACATGTATGATTGCTCATGTTTGTGGTAAGCATTTCATCACAAAACAGGTAACATTTTAATGATTGTGTCCATTTCTTGTTCGAATCTTTAGCAAGAGGCCATGTGTGGCATCTGACTAATTTTTGTGTAAAGTCAAATCCTTGAATGCTGGGTAATGATACAGATTCTCCATGGATCTACTAAAGCAGAAACATCATAGTTTTTCTTTTTGTACCACTTTGGCTGATTTGTTTGATTAATGCTAACTACCTTGTGTTTGGCACACCAGTTGATTTCTGTAGATTATTCTGATTAGTGTCTTTATTTCCTTGCCATTAGGATGTGTTCTCTCAATTTGTCCAAATCCCACTGTTATCTTTTTTACAGATCTTGTTCCAGGTGAATTTGTCCATGTTATTGGGGATGCTCATGTCTATCGCACTCATGTCAGACCTCTGCAGGACCAACTCCAGAAACTACCTAAACCTTTTCCAGTAAGGATAATAATAATATGCAACCAGATTTCATATTATGTGATCAATCTGTCTTGCAATTTTTGGTTTTTCGAAAGGAACATGGTTTTCGTAATTCCTTTTGTTTAAAAAAAAAGGTTGTAAGTTTATTCCTTGTCTCTCCTTGAATGCAGATTTTGAAGATCAACCCTCAGAAAAAGGACATTGATTCCTTTGTAGCAACTGATTTTAAGCTCATTGGTTATGATCCTCACCAGAAAATAGAAATGAAAATGGCCGTGTAGAATTGGTGATTTTCTTGAAGTTCCGCACTCCCTATTCAGGCTATATCTGCTATTGTTTTAAAGGCAAGTATTTAAATACCAACCCCCCCTGGGGGCCTGGGAGGGTTGGCTTTACTCTCCTTCAATCCTCCCAAAAGATACATATATAAGCCCACAAGATAGAACCTACTATGCTTTTAATTCTAACCCCCAAAACAACTAATAAGTCCATTTTCGGTCATGATATCGATGTTATCTAAGATGACTTGGTAGAGTCCAAGCACTATGATATTGATTGCATGATGCAAAATTATTGGATGGTCATTATCTAAAAGAAGTCTCAACCATCAATCATCATAAATTTTTTTGGATAATTGTAATAATAACTTGTTCAAAAGATGGAATGAGCAGAGTCCATTGTTTAGTAAGTTCCTATGGTTCGAGGATGTTTTTCAGACTGCCGTATGAGACTTGGATTTAGGTACTGGATGGTTGTTACTGTAAGGGTGTTCCAAATTGTTGATAAAGCTATAAATATAATTTGCCTTTCCATGCCAAAAGTTTGTCAATACAGCATTCAACCAAAGTGCGTGTTATTCCTTGGCTTAATTCTACTTCTGACAAAGCTATATGTATATATATATAATTTTCTTCACTGTCAAAAGTTATATTTTGTCGGTAGTACATTCAACCTTAGTACATGATATTCCATGGCTTAATTCTAGTTGTCTGTTTCAACAAAGAGTTCTATTTTTATATGTTTTTTTTTGGGGGGGGAAGGGTCAGAGAATCTTGTTGCTATTAGATTTGGATAATTTGAGAATTGAGGTGCTGCTTTTAGTTGTTATGTAATGCAGCTTCTCTGTCACGTAACAGCTGAACAGTGATACATTATATCTGTTAGAGGCATTACACGAAAACCAATTGGTAATGGATGACGAAGCCCCTCAACCATATAAACCAATATCGGGTGGCCCTAATATTTTTTTTTTTTTTTTGGGGGGGGGGGATACAAACTCTCTTCACAATATTAGTTAATATTTAGACCATTAATACTCCAATGCAATTCTTCATGCACAATTCTCATCTGGACTCCTTAATAGTGGGAGTTTTCCTATTTTGTTTGGGCTGAAGCTTCCCTGTAGGTTGATTGTTTTCATGTCAACAAGTTCATAATTGAAATAGTTACAGAGATCTTTGCTTGAATTTGGGGCAATGAACATGTTTTATGCACATGATGATTTGGTGATCAAAAGATTTGATGATCTAGTGAGTGTTGCAGGAGGGATGAACTAGGGTGGTCTTATCATATGTGATTTGACTTGATATGCTATAAATATTGGAGTCCATTATTTGTAATGTGATATAAATTGTTGATGGAAGTTTAATTTTGTGAAATGTTTTGATAATGATGCAGGCAGAGGTACCAGGGGTGTTGGCCAAGAGTTATAGACAAATGAAGAATGACTGAGTGGGTATTTTAAAAACTCATTGCATCCGTAGGAATTGAGAATCCTTTAGTTCCACACATTGAATTGATGGTTCTAAGGTGATTTAGGACACACATTTCATGTTTCGAGGATTGCGGTTTTTTTTTGTCCGTTCACTTGAAGCTGCTATCACTTTCTATCATGATGCATGTACTCTGCTTGGATACATGTGGCACTTATATGCTTACTATGTTTCTCCCCCTAATATTTCTAGTCCTTCTCCAAATGTGAAGATCTGCAGTATAGCGGACACCATTTGTGCCATTGACCTGCTTAGTTGTAGTAATATATGTGTATAGGATGCTGCCAATCTAGCTGCCTTCAAATTAAATGGACAAACATTATAGCTTCTGAATGCTGGGCACTACGATGCTGACAGAGTTGTTCAATAATACAATGGGAAAGGTTGTCGTGTTTTAGGGATATTATATATAAATGCGTGTATATGTTGTGTTTTCATATATATTTTTGGTGGATCCCATCCCAAAGCACAGGGATCGGGGGATTGTTATGGGGGATTGCAACAGTATTGAGATGATGGAAATCAATTAACCAAACCAATATGATGTGGATGGAGAAGTGGCAAGGATTCCCTTTCCCGATGTTGTTGCTAAGAAAATCCTAGCTCACCATTTTGCGGTCAGCTAGGCTGTATTGGGTGCCAATTTTGAGTGTTTCATGTACTTAGGGTGCTGGAGAGGATAACAGTTTTCAAGAGCAAAAAAGCCCGAGCAAAAGATCCCTTAGGGGTCGAGCGCCAACTCGGAGGGTAAGATCTTATCTGAATGAGTAAGACCTATCACTTTAAGAATAGTGCCATTTTGAGTCTTATAATCGATCCATGAACAGAGCTAGGAGAACCTGCGCACGCAAGAGAAGTGCTACGGACAAGAACCAAAGGTGGCCAACGGCTAAGGAGCAGTCTAAACGAAATAGAACAATGACTCAGCATAGGGTGAAGAGAGAAAATTAGATAGACGTTAGTGGAAGAAAGCTTCTGGACATATATAAATAGGTCGATCCAAGTTAAATAAAACTGCTAGGGTATGGGGGTGTGAGTTGATGATCTTTTAAAACAGCTTGAGGAAATGGTGTTCTTGGATTGAGTTCTCCAGGATGCTTTGGCTTTGTTCTCTTTAGATGGGGCGTCAGAGGGACGTACTGGGCTCAATCTATTAATGCAGCCACCCCACCTTATGCAGATCTATAGACCAGTTGCTTTGCTTCAGAGTGGCTATGAACCACAATTATATTCTCC